AATAAAAATGGAAGAAAAGACAAAACAAATAAAACAGAGAAAAAAAAATATTATATATGCGAAAAAGAATAATCATCACGGCAGCATTCTAATAATCCTCATTATGTAAAGTGATATAAGCGCTTTAATTACCCTTAATGGCCCATTCAAAATCATTATCATATTTAGCCCTGTTTACTCCAGATGTAAATATCGAGGTAAACATCAAATGATTAAACAAAAGCGGTTTTATTTGTGCTTATAAGAGATGTTTGCGGATTGTTAGAGAGGGTTTGATTTTCATTATTTTTAATTGAACGAAAGATGTGACACACTTAGGTTCGCTTCGTTTCGTTTCTGTTGATACGAGATCTGATAGCCAAGGAAAGTAGCTTTTATTCCCATGTTGTCATCTTTTCTTTATACAGACACACACACACACATATATATGAGTATGTGTATGAGCGTACGTATGTGTGTGTGTGTGTGTGTGTGTGTGTGTGTGTGTGTGTGTGTGTGTGTGGTGTGTGTGTGTGTGTGTGTGTGTGTGTGTGTGTGTGTGTGTGTGTGTGTGTGTGTGTGTGTGTTGTGTGTGTGTGGTGTGTGTGTGTGTGTGTGTGTGTGTGTGTGTGTGTGTGTGTGTGTGTGTGTGTGTGTGTGTGGGTGTGTATGCTCAACTCTTACTTCAGTATTTCTGTATCTTCGTTTCTTTTATTTCTCATCTTTAAGCTCTCTTCTCAGCCTTTATTCTTTTGTCTCACTCTCCTTTTCCTTTCTTTATTCTTTTTCTTTTAAAAAAATCGATTCTCAAGCACTATCGACAGTAACCCAGCTGGTGATTATCGGCCCGATCCAATAGCCATTCCTTATACGGACATGCATATGCACTGAAATAATGCATGTCCCTCAGTCTAGACATGCATATCTACCATATACAGAGATAAATGTATATATCTTACGATAGATATGCGTTTATTTCTGTGGATATGCATGTCTGTAAATACGGCATATTGATTGGGTTGGACCTTGCACAGTTCTAGCAAACCGGCCGTGTGTATTGATAAAAAAAAACAATATATGAACTAACTCTGCCGCCCCCACCCCACTGCAACATCTCCCAACAGGCAATCTGCATCCTCTTTATCCCCTCTTTATCACTTGCCCCCATTTCCCACGCTTCAGGAGCAGCCATCAGTACCCCCACCCCCATTTCTCTCCCCGAACACCCTCCCCCTTCTCTTTCCCCGGCCTTCTTACCCTTCAACCCCGCCGCCGATGCCCAGTACCCCCCCCCCTAGTCTTTTCTGCACCCCACACACTACCCTTCTCCATCCTCTAAATCACCCCGTCATGCACTTTTCCCCAACCTCGCTGCTCTTAGTTCCTCTCTCCCTTTTCCCCCTCACCCTCTTCCAGCTCTTAACCCTTAATATTCTCCCCCACTAAATCCTGCTAGTGTCCCCATTTAAGGTCCTCTCCCCCTACCTCCCCCCTTCCTCTTCCCCATTCCTTCTCCCGTACTTTTATCACCATTCCCTCCCCCTTCTCTCCTTCCTCATCACGCTCTTACCCCTTAACCCCCTCACCCTACCCCCACCCCTTACCCATCACGCTCTCACCCTTTAACCCCTTGCCTCCTCCTTCCCCTCCCCTTCCCCTTCCTTCCTCCCCTCCTCCCCTCACCCTTCCCCCTCCCACGATCTCAGAACTCACAAGCTACCTCTAGTCCTCCCCTCTTCCCTCCTCCCCTTCCCCCCTCTTCTTACTTCCCTTCTCCCCTCTTCCTCCTCCTCCCCCGTTCCCCTCCCTCACCTAACCCTTTCCCCCTTCCCCTCCCCCCCTTCCCCCTTGCCCCTTCCCTTCTCTATCCACTTCTTCCCCTTCCTCCCCTCCCCCTCCCCCTTCCCTCCCTATCCTCTTCCCCTTCCCCCTACCCCACCTCCCCTTCCCCTATCCCCTCCTTCCCCCCATCCTTGCCCCCACCTACCCCGTTCCTCCTCTCCATCCCCCCCCCCTTCCCCCTTCCCCCCCCCCCCCCCCCCGCTATCAGCACTCATCGGGTCAATGTGTATGAGCCATTACCGCGAGATTTAATCCGGGTTTAATTAATACCGTCCTCCGCATAATTGCGCGGAAAATACGCAAAAAAGGAGCCGAGAAAATTACATGAAGAAAAATAATGTCGCACTTTGCATGAAAACAGGAAATTGGCCTCAGGTTAGGAGGAGGAGGAGGAGGAGGGAGGAGGAGGAGGAGGTGGTGGTGGTGGAGGAGGAGGAGGAGGAGGGGGGCAATGGAGGAAAAGAGGGGAGATGGAAGATGAGGAGGAGGGAGAAGCAGGAGAAGGAGGAGGAAGGTAGGGGGGGGATGGAAGAAAAGGGGGAAATGGAAGATGATGATGAGGGGAAGAAGCAGGAGAAGGAGGAGGAGGGGGGGAGGAAAAGAGGGAGCTGGAAGAGGAGGAGAGGGGGAGGTAGAAGAGAATAAGGATTATTAGGATTCGGATTAGTATCAGGATTATGCTTAGGATTAGGAGACGGAGGGGGAGGAGGAGGAGCAGGAAGAGAGGGTGGAGGGAGGAAGAGGAGAAGGAGGAAAGGAGTAGGGGAAAGAGGAGGAGGAAACCGCGTTAGAATATCGATTTTATTATGATATTTAAATATATATAAGTGATCGTTTATATATATATTATAATTTTATTATAATATTTTCTTTTATTATATCATATCTAATAATTATTTATTGTGTGCTTGTGTAATATATACTTATATAAATACCCTCTCATTATATTATATATATATATATATTATATCATTTCTAATTTTGTCGTCGTTTGTGTGTCGTGTGTTTGTGTTGTGTTGTTTTGTTGTGTGTGTCGTGGTGTTGTTGTTGTGTGTTGTTGGTGAGATAGGGTTTGTGGGTATGTATTTTTATCACTTTTCTATTTTATTACTCTCTATCTCTTTTACTCTTTATTATCTCTAATAATATTTACTATTCTCTAGTATATGTATATATATAATATATCTGAATTACTCTCTCGCATGCACAAACTACCCTCTACTCGTTGTTTGACACTATGGTATCGAACAACACACAATGATACAAACTAAATTCTTATTGAGGCATATCTAGTCTTGTGTCACTCGCTAGGGGTTCTTTCTTGTGTGTCTGTGTGTGTGTGTGTGTTTGTCGTGTGGTGTCTGTGTGTGGTCGCTGTGTGTGTCGTGTGTGTCTTGTGTGGTGTGTGTGTGTTTACTGTGTAATATATATATATATATCTATCCTATATATTATTAATATACCTATACTTACTATTATGTGTGTGGTGGTTGTGCTGTGTGTGTGGTGTGTGTTCGGTGTCTGTGTGTCGCTGATAGATTGTATTCGCTAGAATATAGATAGTGGTTGTGTGTTGTGTTTACTGTGTGTAAATATAAATATATTATTATACTCCGTCTCAATATAATCACTACTTCTACCTCCACACCTCATCCTCCCTAACCCTATATATATATATATATATAAATAAAACACAATGTATCCCATGGTCGTATTGAATATTCTTTGCTCCCATAAAAGAATAATACAGGATAAAGAATGCACGCATGAGAGTGGGTTTCATCCACATCCGGAAGTGACCCTCTTCCCAAAACTCCACACCTCTCTCCTCTCTCTCGTCTCTCAAGATAGCTATTCAGCGCGACCGTTGCTGTTCCACGCCGCCCCTCTCTCCGTTACTCACCACTCATCCTATAGTGGATCACCTAGATACCGCCGTCGGGCAGTCTTCCTTCCACAATCGTTACCTGCCAACGAAGAGAGATAGAATAATTCAGTGGAGACACGATAATATAGACGAGATTAATTCTCTTTAACATGCGGGTCGTTGGTTATTCCCTGTGTCCGGTTCAAGTGCGTTCTATCTGTGTATACTAAATGTAAACATATCATATACAAACATCACTACACCCATCATCCAGCACATACTTCCTTATATATGATATATATACTCTTATATTATATCACCTATATATCCTCTATCTATTCTCTCTACCATTCCACTACTATCTACTTCTTAACATCTCAAAATAAAATATAGAATTTGTCTCAAATATAGTAATCTACATGTATATTCTCTGACTCTATCTCACATCATCAACATACACACACACACACACGCACACACATACATACATACACATATAACAGCACACACATAAAACTACACGCAACACACAACACAACACACGCCCTATATATTAGTTAGGATGATTAGATAGTAGGTATATGATTGTATAGTGTCATATGTTACTATATCAACATAAGATATATAATAAATAATATTATCTATATATGTTAATAAGATCATTACTATATTACTTCATTATCTATATATACTATTTCATATTATATATATATTATATTCATCTCATAACAGTCAGTTAATATATATTTATGCTCTCGGACTATAGATTTACTATATATTTCTGTATTTACTAGTCTCTCTTCTCATCTCTCTCTCATCTTTAGATCGTGTCGGTCAGCCTATGTGTTTCTCTCTCTCTCCCTCGTCTCTTCCTCGCTCTTGTGTCTCTGCTCTCTCTCAATGCGCGCCTTCTCCCCCCCCTCACCTTTCTGTTTCACACACACGACTCTCACTCTTGATACTTATAAATCATCATTTATCTTTCTCTTTATTTCTTGACTTTCCTCCTTTATCATTCACCATTTTTCTAATTATTCTCACCCCCTTATGTCTTTCGATCTTTTCGCCCTTGTTTTTTTGATCTTTCTATATTTTCTTTCTCTTCTCTTCCCCTTTTCCTCCTTGTTTTTCTCTAATTCCTCTTCATCCACATTCTTTTTCCCCTTTTCCACTTTCTTCTGTCCACTTCACTTCGCCTTATTTTTCTTCACCTTCTGTGCTTCCCCTCTTTTCTAACCGCATACTCTCCCACCCCACCCGGGTCCCACCCCCACCCCCCCCACTTATCCTCCCGTCGCCAAAGTCAGGCCGGATGA